TCGTGGAGACAGCCCACCAGGCTGGCCGCCTCTCTTGCAGGCAGCTGGGACCGCTGTCCTAGCTGGTCCTGCTCCCATAGGTTATGTCTGTGCCTCGACTCCTGGCTAGCGGCAGTGATAAATGCCGAAGTCACAGACGTGCGATGGCGGGTCTGATTGGAGACAGCGGGGCCTGGCTTCTGCCTTCAGTGCTGAGCACCAGGCCATCAGAGTGAGCGATGGCACTCGAGGTCTGTGACATCTGCCTCCTGGCGCGCTCCAGACCGCGCCGCCGATAGCAGCCGGGCGCGAGCCACATCTGCCGCTTAAGATGTTCCGGAGGCCGCGGTTAAACACAAGCACAGGATCATTGCTGAGGTTAATTTTAATAATGCGTTTTATCTGAGGTATCATCGTGACATGACTTCCATCTAAAAATGGCTAATGTATCCGTCATCTTGTGTTTTCCAAGCCAAGTCTCTGAAACGCAGTTTTACACTCACAGCCCATGTAAGTCTGGGTGCCCCTTTTCTTTTTCTTTCTTTTTTAAAAAATGTATTTTTATTGATTTCAGAGAGGAAGGGAGAGGGAGAGAGAGAGAGAGAAAGAGAAGCATCAATGATGAGAGAGAATCATGGATCGGCTGCCTCCTGCACGCCCCGCACTGGGGATCGAGCCCGCAACCTGGGCATGTGCCCTGACTGGGAATCGAACTGTGACCTCCTGGTTCATAGGTCGACGCTCAACCACTGACCCACACCGGCCTGGCCAGGTGCTCCATTTTCATCAGAGGTACTTGATCTGTATTTAATATACGTTTAATACCATCGACCATAGAAAGGAAGATTTACAGACCCAAGTTGTTCAAATAGTTGTTTCCAAAATTGAACCAAGTATCATTTTTTACATTTAAATGTAAATGACTTAAAAGTCAGTACAATGACACATTTCCCTCCTCGGGCACTGCCCGCTGGGTCCCGGCATTAGCCTATCGGTGCACTTGGGTGGGAAGGCTGACGGGTGTAACATTATTCCTGTTATTGCAATTGAAGCTGCAGTTGCTGGGTGCTCTCTGTTTGCCACAGACACACATTGCCATGGAGTTCTCACAGCACCCCAAGAGGGGACAGCAGCCCCCCCCCACCCGCCCCCCATTGCAGATCCGCAGCATCAAGGCATGGAGCGTTCTCAGTGACTTGCCCCAGACCCAAAGCGCAGCGCGAGCAGCTGGCCTCTGCCCCTTCCTGCCGTGGGCGGTGGGCCGCCCCGAGTGCGCTGATCGCTCCCCGACCCCGCGGAGACCCGGGCTCTGGCCGCTGGTCGAGCAGTTGTTGCAGATTTTCCAAGCGGCTGTCTGTGGCGATTTATTTGAAATACAAGGTTTGCTTTTGCTTGTGATGGTCAGATTCCCAGGCCATCTGTTTTGTGCCTGAAGGGACCATGGGCACAAATCGTCACAGAAACGACATTCTGTTCATGGGGGGGAGGGGAAGGGCATTCAGGACACTGAGCTGGGGCCTCGGCGAGTGACAGGAGCTCATCCTCGCCTGCTGGGATGGAGCGTCATGCTTTCCCATGAGTCACTGCAGGGGTGCGTGTGCATGTGAGTGGTGGTGTGTGAGTATGGTTTGTAGGAATGTGTGTGGTATGTATGCATGTGTGTGTTGAGTGTGTGTGTTTCTTTGTGTGTGTGTGCCTGTGTTTGTGTGTATCTGTGTGTCTTTTGAGTCTGTGTCTGTTGAGTGTGTGTCTGTGTATCTTGTGTCTGCGTGTGTGTCTGCGTGTGTATCTGTGTGTGTCTGTGTGTGTATCTCTGTGTGTGTCTGCGTGTATCTCTGTGTGTGTCTGTGTATCTGTGTGTCTCTGTGTGTATCTGTGTGTGTATCTATGTGTGTATCTGTGTGTCTACGTGTGTGTATCTGTGTGTGTACCTATGTGTATCTATGTGTGTGTCTATGTATCTGTGTGTGTACGTGTGTGTGTGTGTGTCTGCATGTGTGTGTGTGTGCATGTGCGCATGCTCACTGAGGAAAAGAGCTCTCTTCCCGGCCAGACGGAGTTTGCATGGTTCCTTTGCCCACGTTCATTTTTCATCCTGAAGCCGCACACCTGTTACGTGTCGAGGGGGGACCTGCAGTCTCGGACAGCCTGTTCCGTCCTTGGAAGACACCAGAGGCACAACAGCATCCTAACGAGCTCTCCCTGGCCTTGCTGGTGACCCAGTTCCACTGGCCGGCGTCCAGGCTGATCAGACGGCCGTGTGCAGGCCACGTGCACGCGTGTGTGAGTCTCGGTGTATGTGCAGGGGCTGCTCGCACTGATGAGAAACAGGCTTCTCTCACGGAGACTGCACCCCAGCAGGGGAGGCAGATGAGAGGACCAAAGTCAACTCACAGAGGAGCAGGAGCCGGCATCCGGGGCCGCCGGGGCCCCTCTGTCCCCGGAGGCCTGCCTGAGATGCCGGGTGAGGTCCGTGCAACCTGAGGAAGCCTGGGCCTCCGGTGACCTGTCCTGGGGGGGGTGTGGTCCGGGACTGGAGCTCTGTCTGTGGCCCGGGAGGTGGTGGCTGCTTTTCCAAGTCCTCCTGCGAGCATTGTCCTACTTCGTCGTCTTCACCCGCCGTTGGTGGGGTGGATACTAAAAAACCTCCAGGTTGTCACGCTCGAGTTTGAATGTTCTCGAGGGGCTCAGAGAAAGAAATGTCATTACACAGGACAACCGCAGCGACATTTCCTAAAGTTGTGTTGTTTCTCGTCAAGAGAGGCTGGTAACAGACAGCTCACCCTGGGCTGGGCATGGGGGGCGGTCAGTCCCTCCGGGGAGCCCGGCTGGCCGACAGCGTCTCCCACTGATGATGGACAGGGCAGCCGTGGCCTCCTCACCCGGAGTAATCCTGACAAATGACACAAACACACTCAATTACCTCTGAGAGCAGGCAGGTCCCCGGCAGCTCGTCCAGCATGACGGGTGAATGGGGCGGTGAGGGATGGAGTCTGGCTGGGGCCCTAGCCAAATTGGCTCATTGGAGAGAGCATCGGCCTGCTACTGAAGGAAGGGTCCTGGGTTCAATTCCGGTCAAGGGCAGGGGCCTCAATTCCAGGCTCGATCCCTGGCCCTGGTCAGGGCATGTGTGAGGGTAACCAGTCAGTGTCTCTCACATCGATGTTTCTCTCCCTGTCCCTCTCCCTTACACTCTCTCTAAAAATCAATGGGAAAATATCTTCAGATGAGGTTAAAAAAACAAAGAAAAAAATTTGGCCGGGGCATGTGGGCCCCAGAGCCTGAGCGGCCACTTCCGCCAGCTGAGTCGGGATCGGGGTTCCTCGATGTGGCAGGACGGGGCGCGGACACCTCCCCGGGCCCACCAGCCCCCCAGGCCTCTGCCTCCCGGGTCCCTGCTGAGCTTTTGGGAGCAGCCTGCCTGCTTCCACAGTGGCTGTGTTCCTTCGTCCCGTTGGCCTGTTTTTCTGCACCTGCTCAGATCTTCATGGGCCTGGCTTCTGCCTGTGAGGTGTCCTGGTGATTCGGTGTCGCCGAGGAAGGGCAGTGGCCGGGCTGGCTCCACAGCCCAGCACGGGGGGCACAGGGAGTGCGTGCTGGGCAGGGGGTGAGGCACTGAATTGGTGGGCGCAGCACATAGTTAGAGCTCCCGCCGTGTCTGTGTGTGTCTGTGTGCACACTGTGGGAGATGTGTGCTCGCAGGGATGTGCATAATCCCGTCTTACCCGCGGGGGCTTCGTTCCAGGCCCCCCGTGGAGGCCGGAAACTGCGGGTAGAACCAAACCTTGTGTACACGGTGTTGACTCCTGCTGGGGTGGTGTGTCATGCTTTCACATGCTTCCTGTGGTGAGGTTCCGTTGATAAGTTAGGCTCAGGGAGGGAGTAACAGCAATAACAATGAGATCGAACAATGATAACGATGTACTAGCAAGGTGATGTGAGTGTGGTCTCGCTCCCTCAGAATATCGCGTTGTTCTG